AAAGTTACGGAGTGTGTCAGTGACTACATGATGTCAGTGACAGACAAACACTCATCTTGCCCCTACTTTACTGTTGCTCCACATTGTTGCACACTTAAACAGGTGATCAAACATACATAGAGTTTTAATAAGTTAGTACTATATAATTAACTGTTGCTTTTTAACAACAAACACATGTTCAGACACGCAAATAGGCTGATAAATTATTCACTATCTGTAACATCACGCATTCCATTTTCACTCTTGCTGAAAACAGACTAAACCAGAGTTCATGTATGTAAACAAGTTGATGAATTATTAATGATGTATAACACAACACTCATAAAATATTATTGAAAACGAATTCAGGTAAAAAACGTTAATGGTCCATAAACAAGAGTCATTGACTCCTCTTGTTAACTGTACTTTTAGTCGTTAGTCATCTAAAACACTTCAGTATTGTATAACACGTAGGTGCGTTAATAATCAACCAGCAAAGGATCGAGACTTAGACTCAATACAAACTACAGGTTGTTCACATTGAAATGAAAAGAAATGAAGCTTTTTAAATTATTCTCACACCTTTTCACAATATGCACCTTTCTTTCTCTGTCATGGTAAAATTCTAGACGATTACCATGGACGTAGGAACCATCCTTTTCGGGTCAAAACATACATACATTTACACTCAAATGTATAAATGTATGTCACATTAGTTAGGGTAATCGTCTAATTAAGTCATCAAAGGCAACTGACGTGTTTACTATTTTTGGATATTCCTGTTTTTATCTATAACTTAATGGATATAAACTTGTTATCTTACTTTTATTATATACGCACAGAATATCAAGACTTTCATATACTCTCATTAAACAGTAGGGCAGTTTCATCCTCCTTTCCAATACGTCAATGAGAATTAAATGGTATAAGTTGATGGGAGAGGATTCATTACCCACCTGAGAGTTAGCAAAGCACTTCAGCCCAGATCACAATATATTATAGGGAAACGTCCCTTAGTTCCACACTCCTGGTAATGTACTGGGATTTCAGGTTGGGAGGTTCATAATGTACTGCTGCAACTCAATAGTCTTCACTCTCTTTGATCTTATGGGTGTGTTTGTGTGTGTGTGTGTGGGGGTGTCTGTGTGTATAGGGTTATATAATTTTTTCCTATTTTAATGATATTCGTATTTATATAGAAGTATATTTTTTAGACGTAATGATTTAAATTATAATCTTCTTTTTTACGGTGATCATGTGTATGTCAGCCATATAACTTATGAATTAAAAGAGGTAAAATACTATTACTTGACGACTGTATTTATCGTGTCAGTTCTAAAGTTGCTGTGGCTTTTGTATCGAGAGGTCAAAAGGTGACGTCTCAAGATATTACAGTGACATGTGCTGGTAAAATGACTACAGATGTTGTGTATAAAGACAATTCTCAAAACAAACTTTACACCAATTTATAATCAGCACATATTCGGATTCACTTGAGCCAGTACAGTTCACCATACATAAATTATTAGTTATTTACATCCTTAACAGCCGTTCGTAAATACATCAACACAATGGTAGCAGTGATGGGTCTCTCTCTCTTTCTCTCTCTCTCGTTATAATAAATTTAATACCTCTGTTATCTCTTGCAATAATATATAACCTTCCAATGTCATTTTCCTCTCCCCCTCTCGGTTCAATTATCTTCCCATTGATTTCACATTAAGCCTCAAGTTCCCCGTGTAGTTTTAGTGCTTCGGCATTTCCTTCTTTATTTCATCCCTCTATTTCATTATCTCGTCACAGTCCCAACTGAATCTACCCTCTTAGCCTCCCATCCCTCCATTTTACCATCCCTCTCCCTTACCCTCTCCCCCTTCTTTTTTATAGGGAAGTATCAAGAGGGAGGGGGAGGAGTGGACAACTTCTCGAGAAAATTTGGTGTAATTTCCTAAGTTTCTTCTGGTGATAACCGTCTCCTCCATCTTTACCCTATTAGGAAATAACATAGTCTGGTCAGGTAAATTTAGATTGTATTAGTATCCACTATTAGCATTTCGTCCTCGGTTTGATGTGTTTGTGGTATACGAAGCTATCATCATAATACGTTCTGTGTGTTAACTAATGCATAACATGATTACCACTTTGAGCAGGAACTTCTTTAGTTTATCTTGCCATGGTCAAGAATTAACTACATATCTGGACAGATTATTATAATATTTCCTAATATCTTATCAGTAATTAATATGCATTTGATTATGTCCGGGACTTTCACAATAAATATCTACTTAGCGCATCAATGAAAGTGAAGGTATAAATCTGCAACGTTCCTTCTAATACCTTGGCTAAGCAGAGCTGTGTGTACACTGCAATGCACCGTAAGTTCTCGTATCAGTTCTTTTAGGAGATTTGGTAAGATAAAACAAAAGAGCATAGACTTAATGGTTCATGGTAGCAACTTGGGATCCAAGACTCAGACATAACGTATTATTTATGTATTTTTGTCGTGCAACTTGTCTGACCTTTTAATATTTTCTAAAGTTTATCTTGTGCTCACTGGGTTGCAAGACCTTCTGTGTAAAGACAACCTTGATTAGTAATATTATTTGGATAAAAGAGAAAACTCAATAGGACAAATGAATGCATTGTATTATGTAGGAAAGAACCCATCTCAACTGTATTCACAGTGAAATACCTTGGACTAATTCTTGACTCTTGTTTGTATGGTGAATTAATCGTAGATAATAATTATAGATAAAAGAGTACTGTTAAAAGTTATCTCTAGAAATGCTAAAAGCCTCTCAGCTGATGCTCGCAGGACCCTTTAGCTGGTGCTCATGTAATGTAACTTGGACTATTCATTCTCGTCATGGTACTCTTCCCTAACACAGAAGCCAAAATCCAAGTTATAACTTGTTCAAGTCACGGCGGTGAGGTTCATTCTTGACAAAAAAAAGCAAGAGATCACGTTGGTAATGAAATTTTTGCTGCAATGTAATGCTTGTTGAATTATATCAATAAACTTTCACTATTACTCCTGTAGACATACTATTACTGATTAGAGACCAAGTTTAAGACGAGAAGGACCCCCCTGGAAATAAGCACATGAAAGCTTTGCTTCGGCGCACAGGAAAATGTATACTCCCACGGTCTACTGTACGTGCACCTGCATAGTTTATATACATGCCTATCTAATTATAAACTTGCATGACACTTATTAAAAATTATTATTATTATTATTATTATTATTATTATTGTTATTATTATTATTATTATTATTATAGCCTAAATTCACAAACGGCCTTACTCTCACCATCACCATCATGTTAACACACTGCCCTAGTCTCACCCTTTCGGTCCTGGTCCCAGAAGCTCTAGGAGTCACAGAATATTAAATATATATATATATATATATATATATATATATATATATATATATATATATATATATATATATATATATATATATATATATATATATATATATATATATATATATATATATATATACTGTATAATAATAATAATTCGTGAACGATATCGGTTACATGCGTATCAGGTAGATATTGAAGTTGTTATTTCCGTCATCGTCTTATCACTGCCTAAGTATGTCATGCAGATGAATTGTTCCCAGTAATGAAGTAAAAATGTGGTGCGAGGCTGCAGGAAGTCGTCGTGTTGTATGTTCTGACACTGTTAACACGTAAACAACCATAACGAACAGGGTACACACTATGGTCGTACTTGACCACAACACCTCTCTTTATTTTTAAAAAGGATTTACTAAACGTAAAATTAGTCACTAGGGATTGAGATAATTGATTTTTAAACAATATTAACATCAGGAAGTTGAAGGGTTGGTAAGTAACAAACTTATTAGCTGGTTTAAGATAAGACAGATTTAGACCAGGCTAACTACTGTTTCTAACATTATACAATATATTTTTATGAGAACAGTTGTAAATAGAGGAAAAGAAGGAAGGAATAATGGTCTGCAGACGACAGTGAAGATCCATTGCCGAGGCTGGTCAACAGAATAGCCGAAAAGGCGAAACGTGTGGGCAAGACTAACAATGAACAGAAGACGAAAGTATTGGTCGTTTCCATATTAAAAGTTATTAAAAAAATCTGAATAATCATGCGATGCAGGTAACTAAAGATTGCAACAACTATATTTTGAAAGTAACATCAGTTGTGGTAGTAGATGTGAAAGAAGATTATAATTTATACAATTTACAGCATCTTAAAAATTATGTTCTCAAATATTCGAGTTGCAGAAATAGTTATTGAATTTTATAATTAAGTTTTAAGTCACTGCAATTATGTAAGAAATAGAGGAGGTTAATAAAGAAAATAAATAGCATTTAATGTTAATAGGTACGTGTACCGGGTTGTCTGCTGCACTAACAAGGATATCACTGAGGGGGCAGTAGTTATCATAGTCACTCACTTACAATAGGTTCTCATCCACATGCCATTACATAGAGTGGCAACCTTATCTTAGCTCCTCCCATTCTTCATAACACAGGTGGCAAGATTCACACCACACATGGTGGTCTGTGGGAATGTGACAAGAGTGTTGTTGTGTGTAATAAACCATGGTGAGGTGGTGTAAGTAACCAGGAGAGTGTCGGAAATGACTAATGTGGACATTGTTATGTAGACGGGGGGGGGGGGGACATTGATTTTTTTTAAGTATTCATGCAGTAAAACTTTTATGGTTAAGTACCATTAAAGAACAAATTACCTGATATATCACCTTGAATGATCAATATTTCCTGATCCAATACTACGAAGGCCAGAATTTCCCGAGAAACACCGATATATGTATATAATTTTCTAGATTATATTATTTGAATAATAAGAGAAAAGTTCATGTGTAAGGGCTGTTAGAATGACAGTCAAGTTCATAAAGGGAAAGTGTGGGAGTGTGCCACCTGCTGCAGTGTAGATTCAGTGTAGGGTAGGGTAGAGGGGTTTCAGGGGTGGAGGTGTGGTAAGTGGATATATGAAGTGTTTGCAGCTGCCTCCTGTCACAATACTCACCATCATGAATCAATACTTCATCCTGCTGCTCCTCCTTGGTAAGTAAACACGCTGGGTCACCTTTTGTCAAGACACTGGTATTACCTTGGCCTGTAACTCACGGCTTATTGCCACAATGGTGGTATAGTACCTCTTATTGTTCGATGTTTGGTGACAACTTTAGTGTAATGTTGACCTTTAATTCTCTCTTTGTTAATGCAACTGTTATATTAGCCGCCACTCTTCAACCCTTGTTATACTGGTCCTTTAGCTCACCACTTCTTAACAACATTTTGGTAGTGTACTGAGACCATTTTGTTGACACACTGGGGATACAGTTGGCACGTATCTTGTGCTGGTACAAATACTATTGACCTTGATGTTCATTGCTTGTTTCCACACTGGGTGACATGTTGGCCCCATATCTCAATACCTCTTTAAACTGGTGGTATATTGGCAGTTCATTTTTTTTTTGAAGTGGAAGTATTAGTCGAGTTATACAAATGTGTGAAAAATTTAGCTTCTGTTATAATTTGTAAAACGTGACATGTTGGTATATTATGATTAATTATTTCTAGTGGGAATGCTAATTTAAATCTTGTTACCTTGGCTGCTGCCTTGGGCTTCGAATTAATTTTACTGGCTCAAAAAATAATAACATACTTATATTAAGATAGCCTCTAAATGGTTGAAATTGTACACAGATTTATTAAAGCCTCGGACACAATCATTGGAGATGAAAAAAAAATATTATAATTTGGCTAAGATATAGAAAATTAAAACATGACTTAATTGTAAAATACGAAGACATAACTAAGATATCGGTAAGTGAAGATAGCCAAGGGTACAGGGAATTACATCATGACCAAGATAGAGCAGAAAGTACGTATATTCATCACTGAAGTAAAGCATGACTAAGACAATTACAATAATAACTAAACCAATGAGAACTAGAATAACAGCTAAAAATTTAAGACAAAAACCTCGACTAAAATGCTGTTAATTAAAATAGGACTAAGATACTGGTATTTCAAACATCAACATTCACTACACATTGACTCTTCCGTTTATTTTGGTCATCACATTCATCACTAAAGGCAAATATTTAAAGGGAACATTCTTTACTGCACCTGTCTTCTTCGCTCAATTACCTTCCTTAACAACTCGACGCCAAATTTAGTCATCATGCCTCTTGTCTTTCAGAGATGAACACGTTGATCTGCTTTCTATGGTTCTGTTCTATACATTAGTAGAGGTTCAACACATTATTATATCTTCACATCGTCTGATTCAGTTCGTTATCTTGGCTTTTTTATGTCATTATAGGTTCATTATGTCATTTGTATTTACAATTTTTAGTTCAGTGTAAGTTGAATAGGTCATCACGGCTGTGCCCTTCAGATCTATGTTGACTTCTTGAATTATCGTGGTCAAGTCCTGATCAATACACGCTACATAGTTCATCATGGTCAATATAGCTAGACTAATCGAGGAACAGAACCAACTGAACCTTACCTGGTTATCAACACTGTGTTTCCTGGCTTAGTCGACACACAGGAAGGTCATCCCCCGTGTCCTTCCAGACCCAACTGGGGTTTGGTTATCTATTTGTTCTTGTTTCTTCTCAGGGGTATCGGTCGCTCTTGATGATGAGCAGCAAGAGTTCTCGACGGTGGGAGGTAAGTGTCCTTTGTAACTTTTTCCCATCTTTTGAAAAACCCATTGTCAATACAACTAGCCTGAACAATGGGGGAAAACATCTGTAACTTTATTGAAGAGAATGTTGAAGTATGATTCGGGGATTTTCTTTATAAAAATGGGAAGGAATGACAAAACTAACAATTTTTTAACAGCAAAGCAAAGTAAAAGAAAACTTATGATATTCAAGAGTGATATAGTACAGACATGTCTTGAGGAGGGGAGAAGTGTGGTTAGGAAGTAATGAGATGCGAATTGGGAATTGAAGTAAAGGATGATAAAGAATATGATGAAATATATATGGAATAAAATGATATAAGAGAGTTGAGAAGAACTGTACAATAAGATTATATTGTTGTATGCCTCTCCAGTGAAACACTAACTTTTCGGTCTTTTAGGGACAAGTTGCCCCTCTCCTTTCAATACGGTGGGTGGAAAGTGTATCTATGCTGACGTCGTCAACAGAGGCACGTGGCAAGAAATGCGCGAACTTTGTCAAGGTCTTGCTGACAGATATAGCGTCCCCGACTTAGTCAAAGTAGACTCTGGGGACTTCTTCGTCGATCTAATCCACCACATTCACGCCTATGGTATGTTAAAGGAATTATGATATTCTTAATGTTGTACCTCAACTCCCAGTGTTGATGATGAAGTCGAACATGACATGGCAGAGAGACTGACCATACAGTACTGCTAAGACTATAACATATTTACTATAACAGTTACACACAAGTCAACCTGCCATACAGTTGTTCAAAAAAATCTGTTGGAGATACAATTAGTTTTCTTCATATCACCACCGAACTACCTTTGTTTATATTATTGTGGGCTGTTGTGTCAGTGGTTTCGAAACTCAGTGTACTGCCTTAATTGTAACTAAGACATCTGTGTAAGAAAACAAAGCCTAACCGGACATTGTCTAAATTGAATATAATTTAGCTGATAAGTGATAATGATGGCAAACATTTGGAAATTATTGTTTGCCCTTAAATCTTTCGTGACATTTCCCTTGTAATCAGCTGTTAATGAGAACAAACGACATGAGGACATTATTCTAGAATCTGGCAGATTGGAAGCTTAAGGACAACAGAACACAATACCTCTAGTTCATTGATATTAGAATGAGATAAACTATGTAATGATATTCTTAGTTGTAAGTTACGGTGGCTCGTTAGTTATTCTCGACTTTTTCTAGAAAATTACAGAAATTAAGTTGCTTTTGTTAAGTATGTGTAATATTGCAAGACAAGATGGTGTGCAAGTGTGGCGGCGGGAGCGCCCTTCAAACAATGACGTTATCTTTTACCTGTACTTGATCCATTGTCCGCCACCATTACGTTTTTAGTTCTTTAAATGGCTGTAGAGTAAGTCCTTCAGCAGTTTAATGATATCCATGAGAACATCATGGACACTTCAGCGTCGTTGGTGCTGGATTATGTCGGCCTCGATGCTCCTACAGTTGGTATCAGCTAGGATACTCGCATTTGTCCTCTTGTCTTCCCATCTGACTCGAGGATTACTCAGAAACTACGCTGGTGAAAAATCTCAAGGTACCTGAGTGTCACCTTTACATGACCAATGTTCCGGTGCCAGACAGAAGAGTAGCTTTGTTGATAGTTTTAGTTTTTTGTAGTAGTAGTGGTCAGGGGAACGAGAGCATCAGCCCCAAAGCCGACAACAGTCGCAGATTTCGACTTTGAGGCAACAGTCACTGAATGCCGCATAGATCTGCGGCTCAACTAATTCAACACAGCTAGGATAGCTACTTATGTATTAGGATATTTAATATTAAGGTTATAAAATGGCGGCGAAGGTGTGGCTATTAGGGGAGGCTGGAGGCCACGCTATTTAAAAAAAAATAGTAGTAGTAGATTTTGTCATCACTAAATGTGTTTCAGTCAAATTTCTCTGCAAAAACTGCTTCTGTTTGACTACTCTATTTGGAAAGGGGCTTGTGTGAGGCTTGACTACTGTTGGAGTCACATAACTGAGTTTATCATTGGATTTGAACCATTCCTTTTACGGGTGAGGATGGTACAGGGGCAAAGTACTCATCCCTCACTCAGCTTAGTTTTTGCCCTTGTTATCACATTTCTAATACTTCGATAATTTTACTATGAATCATTGTTTGTTGGTATGTGCAGCAAATGATTTAATATTAAATCTTATATTTGATTTAGGGAATTGTTTGAATTGCTCGAATTGCTGAGCAATGTTTTTTTTCATAATAAACAATTTTCGTACTGCAGACTGGCAAGATCGATACCTCTGGATAGGAGCATCTGACGGAGATCATGAAGGAGTGTGGACCTGGTTAGACGGCTCCATCGTCCTCATGGGCACGCCATTTTGGGCCAATGGTGGATGTAACGACGTGCAAGAGCCACAGGGTGGAACGTCAGAAAACTGTTCCGTTCTTGACCCATACTACCACATGTATTTCAATGACTTTAATTGTGAGGCGAAATTGAATGGAATCTGTGAATATTAAAGTCATGTTGTACATTTGGTGAGTGATAAGTTAATCTCTCATTATCCTGGCTCTCCCGTGAAGATCATAATGGTGAATAAGACCTAATTTTCTAGGAGGGAAATAGTATGGTGCAAGGTGTACTGATTTCTAGAAGAAGGCGTGTGGAGGGCATGGATTCTCTGCTCTCCACTTTGACTGCAAATGTTAACCACCAACAATAAAACAAGGAGCTCAACGAACTTTTTTCCAAAACTTTTCCAATGTCACATTACTTATGAAGACGTAGAAATTGTTAAGAAGCATTAGCAAATGATCTCTCATGACTGTGTAGCTATTAGTGCTTAAGAACACTCAACAATAATATACCACCGGTTACCACCTCAGTTCCAGGCATGGATATTACACCTGGTAACGTTTATGTAACTAGTTGTGGAATGTCAGGTAATCCCATCTGCTAGTCACACTGTACTGCCTAGTAATATCAGCAACTGGCAGAATTGTACTAGTCGGTGTTCCCTCCAGCTGGCACCTTATGAACTGGATATTGATAATTGATAATCCACCAGTTCAGGAACTTTTGTAACTGTTTTGTAGTTACAACTGGAGTTACTTGTAATCTCTGTAGTTGCTTGAGAGTATTAAATGTTCACAAACATAATATGGTTTTGTTATTTATATATAAAAATATATATATATCCGATAATTGGCAAATGTCCTTCTACAGGGGCAGTAAAAGGGCTGGGCACTTGGTGATGACTTGTGCAAATCAGAGCTGCGTGGAGGACATGCGTACGGTATGTCATCTAGCACGTGAGAAGGTAGTGATAAACTGTGCTTACTTGCCATTTATTTAGTTAATTCGGGTAGTGTAAATTATACAAATGGTCTATGTAGAGTACCCACATTTATATAAGTACTACTATCTATCTGTTGACTAAGGCTATTACTAGATTACAATTATGGTCCATCCACATTCACAGTAAAGTGCAACACAGCACTACCTGATTTGATAAAGATCTGGTGCAAAACAACACAGTAATTCTCAATAAAATGACACTTTAAGGCCATATAACACCATTCGATATACAATGCATAGCACAATGAATAATGTAATGCATAGTAATACATGTAAATTCAGTGGTCATCAATACCCTTCAATGCAAATACAAATACAAAATATTACAAATAAATGATACTAATGTAGAATATGTTAAATGCTCTGTAAAAAATAAAGTCCTTTGATAAATGGAAATAGCTTTGGTAACATTACTGAGTAGGTGTTAAGTTTTCCATCTCGAGTTTAAGTAGATCGCTAGGAATGACATCCTGGTATTTTTGTGATAAAAGTCTAAAGAAAGCATGGGAGAAAATATAATATTTACAAATGATAATGTATTAATGTGTCACTAAATAATGGGTTGAAATATGAGAAAAAAAATAGTAACTGGAATGAAAAATAAATCATTTGTGTCAGTTAACTGAAATCCATAGTATTGACATTCATTATGGGGATATTTATATGAAGTGTTGCTGCAGGTAATTGCTGAAAATAAACATGAATTTGGGTTTATTAGGAAAAAAAAAGTATAAATCACCCCCATATTTTAAAGATATTTGAGATTAAAAGAATTAAACAACTAAACTGCGTTCCAAATTTTATATTCTCTTGGACGGATGGTAAACAGCTGGAGTGGGACTACACATACGCTTCCAACTATTGGTCTTGTTAGGTCTCCTGTACATGATCTTCACAACACGACGTTAATCATTCGTTTTATCTTTATTAATTTTTTCCCCTCCTTTTATATTAAAAATAAAAGAGGTTTTATTGGATAGTAACATAGCCACAGCCACGGGGACCTGACAACATACCACATCGTCTCTTCCAAATAAATGTCCCTCGAAGGATTAACCACAAGGATACAGTACTATTTTTTTTTCTTGCTCTTTCATGGGGAGTGAGTGACTTGTGTTTATAATCATCACCTCTCTGATCACTTATCTGTTCTAAAAACCTTCAACCATACTTTGCATTTTGTATTCATTAGTTCGTCTTGATTCCTGTCTTGACTCTCATCTGCGTATGACCATATTTTGAAAGCCACTATTATCATTGGTGGTGTTAGTGATGATGGTGGTGTTAATGGTGATAAATGTGGTGTTGGTGATAATGGTGGTGTTGGTGATACTGATGATTTTGATGATGGTGGTGATGGGGATAATGGTGATGTTGGTGGTGGTGGTGGTGTTGTGATAATGATGGTGTTAATAATAATAGTAGTGTTGGGGATGATGATGTACACTGGAGAGGTCATTCATCATTGTTTTCAGGAATTCAAAGAAAACACAAAGACAATTTTGAAGTGAGCTTTTATTGAGATGAAAAAAAAATATACCTGATTAATTAAAATACTGCATGTCACATATATACAGTACATGATTCCTTCTGACTCTCTTATATATATATACACACACTGGAAGCAAAATTACACGTATAAGTTTTCATAGTTAATGTCAGTAGTTTTTTCTCGCTCTACCCTCTGGACACCTTTTTGTGTTGACTTGGGAGCGTGCGAGAAGTGACTGGCGGATTGGTTGTTGGCAAGTGTCAAATACCTTGATGTGTTACCTGGGGGTAAAGTTATAATAAAGTATGAAAGGAAACTATGATGTGCAATTGGATATTTTTTACTTATAGTAACTGTGTAAGTGTTTTGTTTGCGAGTGTATTTATGTTCTCTTACACGTGGGTGTTTGAGTTTAATTGTTTTTTTGTTTATATATATATATATATATATATATATATATATATATATATATATATATATATATATATATATATATATATATATATATATATATATATATATATATATATATATATATATATATATATATATATATATATATATATATATATATATATACTGTATGTGTTAGTGTCGGGGTATGTATGTATGTATGTATGTATATAGCCCACATCATTATCACAAAAATACAAACAAGTGCGAATAGAGACCATAGTTGTTACTTAAGTACTACACACAGCCTGTAAGACCATGGCTGATGGTTGTGGAGTTTGTTGGGCTGAAGACCCGCTCCACTGCAGACTCTCCTCCACCTAATATAGGAGTAGCTGGTCAGAGTTCCCTGTTAAAGTAAATTCTAGACAGGTAGTGGTTACACTCAACACAACCCAATCAAAATACATATTAAACGGTAATATTGACAATGTGAATGAATGATAATGAATTTATCAGATGTATTTGATTTTTATCGAGAGGAAATCTATAGAATACAACATATTCACAACAGTTAGCGTGACATTAACTGTATAAATTCGAGCGCTCGTGTAACCAAATAGAATTTATGGAGAATATTTCCCCATCCTCGGGAACAAGACGTGACAGTGAAGCGTAATACAGGGATGTATGCACTAGCTCTATATATACTGTATATGTACAGAAATGACAACTTTTGCCGTACGTGTGTAGTGAACGACAGGGGCAGATCACAAACCACCATGCATGTATAGTGAATTACAGGGGCAGACCACAGGTCACAATGCATGTATAGTGATTGATAAAGGTTGGTCACAGGCCACCATGCATATACAGTGAATGATGGGCAGGTCACAGGCCGCCACATGTAAGCTATAGTGAATGGCAAGATCTGGACATATGACGTGAAGACAGACTGCCATGCAAATAAAGTGAATAACAGAGGCAATACAAGCGCCACTGTTACATGTTTGGGGAATGATGGTGTTCGTAGATGGGTGTAGCTAGGCATTTACAGTGCATGTGATGACAAGGAGGGTCACTGGCCGCTTTATGTGTGGAGAGCGTGCGAGGGGCGGCGTACTGGTCAATAGGACTATGGGCTATCAAGGTAGGAATATTATCTTGGGCGAGCAACAGTTAAGGTTATACCTGGTTACCTAAGATGGTCAAATAAAGGAGTACTGAAGTTTCTGCGGGTGTGACTCCAGTTCTCGATACATTAACTGTGATAATGAAAGTAAACGACATGCTTTTTTTGTTCTGCCAACCATGAATGTTATTCCTACAGAAGTAAGTGATAAAGTTGTCTCTCCCTGCCTGATATTATCCTAATTGACTCTTCAGCAGCCCTTTGAGAGAACATCCCAGTTTCTCGCACATTCAGTGACCAAAGTGTAAGCTAAGTAAGGAGTAACAGTTAGGGATCTCATACAACGCTGTTTTACGTTGTGTCAGGCCTAGTGACACACCTCTTTGCTAGTCACATTAAGGGGACGTTGCCTATATACAGGAGTCACCGACTGTCACTTAAAACTAAACGCGGAGGCAAAACTTCTCAGGTTTGCCATCTCGTTAGACATCATTCTAAAATCTACTCTGCTAAATCTATTATATATGATTAATACCGTGTAAAAGTTAAATTATAGCATAATCATACTAAAATAAAAAATTTATTATGTTAAACTAGGCATGATTATGAAAATTTCTTATGAGCAATATATATATATATATATATATATATATATATATATATATATATATATATATATATATATATATATATATATATATATATATATATATATATATATATATATATATATATATATATATATATATATATATATATATATATATATATATATATATATATATATATATATATATATATATATATATATATATATATATATATATATATATATATATATATATATATATATATATATATATATATATATATATATATATATATATATATATATATATATATATATAGACTATATATATATATATATATATATATATATATATATATATATATATATATATCGTGCTAAGTAATGAAACCCGTCAATTGGACGTTAATGAACATCGAATCTTTAGTTGCAGCCACGATTTTTTTGTGTGGTCATAATAATTATGTTATCTACGGTTAACAAACTCCATCTTGTCCTATGTGGTACAGGTATGATCACATAACTGATCTCTGCTTCAAATTGGGTCACGTTTGCTCTCGTAATGTTTGTGGGATGTGACTGATGTATATACTGTATGTGGTTTAACTACAAGCATATTACTGCATATAGTTATGAATTTTCACACCAAAATAAAAATTTTTCTATTCGTCGAAGTAACTAATTTAGTACGACACACACACACACACACACACACAGACATACACACACACACACACACACACACACACACACACACACACACACACATACACATATATAAACACCATCATTCAGAAGCATATATGAAGTTTAAAATTTTCAAAATTGACATCTAACATCTACAACGAACACGTAAGAATATATATATATGTAAATATACATATAAGTAGATATAATGTGTGTTTATATAATTACATATATACAAGAAGCAACCAGTGTCTCTAATACACAGATCCCTGTCATGTATGATCTGGTATATGTGTTATGTGCTTATAACATCAACACCAGAGACGAGCAGCACGGCTCTCCACCTAATCCATGCTCCTACAGTCTTGACATTTTGATTATCTAATTAAATATCACAAATGTTTCTTGAAAATATGTTGAGCTGGCGGAAATTTATATTTTTATCCTTGTACAAAGTCTAACACACTACTGTAATAGTTATGGCTTAGGATTATGAGGAATTACAGTGT